AATTAGTAACAATGTACAAGAAGGGAGATGCAATTATCTGTTTTACGTTACTGCGATGTTGTATACTGATTGTAGATGTCATTTTGGGCCAAGCTTTACACACACACACACACACACACATGCAGTCAGAGATGCTGCACTAACCATTACTGTAAATGTGCCTAAATTGGAAGCTCTTGGGCACGGGTGAAACAGTTACAACTGTGCCATTGGGAATTGAGAAAAACTCACCTGTGATGCCTAGCCAGTGGGAAATTTGGTTGGCATACATAGCTCGAATACAACCTGTGAGGCCATGTCCATTTTCATGTGGCTTCTCAAAGTACCAAAATTTTTCTGTCTCACTGAAGCACGCTCCTACAAACACCCCAACTTTCTGTCCCTTTAGGTGTTGAGGGTTGACACCTTAACAGAAAAATATATCATTATTACCAATACAAACATTCTCTAAGTCATTCTACAATGTGACATACCAGGTACGGAGAGCAGTAGATTTGTAATATCCCTGAACACTACAGATATCACAGGAATATTATCACAAAGGAGGCCCGCATGTGTCAGGAATATTCAGTTCTCCCCTCTCCAATTCTTCCCTTATTTTATACAAGAAATTTGAGCTGCTGTCCTCCTCCTTATATGCAGGCCTTACAACTTCTGCAAATATTTCTGAACACAAAACAGAGATCTTGACTTGAAATGTTAGTAGCTTCTCTTCAAATATTATCTTTCAGTCCTTGCAAGTAATGTGGATTGTTCAACAAACTCTAAGAAATGGTTACAGAATTAATTGAACTTAATGGCTGGAATCAAATGTTTCGTCAAAAAATATAAGTCCTATGATTTTGCATGCACCCACTGTGCACCAGAATCTAAATTTAAGGTCATGCAAGGGAACATCATAAACAGCATGGGGACATTCAGAACAAAATTTTTCAGGTCATGTGGCTACCATCCCCTCTTCCTCCCATGTAGTTTACTATGTTTACCTTCAGGAAGCTTGTCAGTTAATATACAAACAGTGAGAAACAACAAAATCTGTCGACATTACTGTAAAAAGACATCAATCATCATTCTGGAAATGATTGATATATAAAAGCACAGGTAAGTGAGGCAGAGTCAGCAATATTTGACAGTCAAATGATAGGAAAGCTTGCGAATTGTCATGTGCTACAGACGCAGCTTCATTATCAAGCAGCAGAAAAGAATGGAGGAAGTTTATTATGAAGTAGAAGAAAGCTTTTTACCCAGACAGCCAGAAAGTGAATTGGTGAGCATCAATTCAGTTAATAGTCAATTTTGCTTGTAATAGTGTGAAGTACATATATCTTGTATTAAGACACCACCATGTAATCAATAATTATTATAAAATATTTAAAATCACTGACCTGCATCCACAATAGCCTCATACGTCCTTTCCATCATCAAACGAGAAAGTGGGTCCAAAACGTGTGCCTGTTTGTAGTTAATCCCAAAAAATGATGCATCAAACTTCGTAATATTGGGCAACTTTCCTGCCCACTTGGGAAGCTGATGGTGTTCTACACAGGAAATAATATACACAACAAAATTTTATAATCATTTTCGATTTCTTACAAATCTGTCAGCCTGCACAGTCCGTGCAGTGAATGGTACGTAGACAAACTCAGAGATATGGTCTATAGCTGTCTGCCTCCTTCTGCTGAAAAATACTTATAAATACTGGATGATCACAGGGAAATCCTGTGTCATATGTCTTTAAGGGAAAGCAGTTACAGATAATTCCACTGTTATTTGTACTTTAACTTTTAAAATTTCAGTAAACTTCTACAAGATTACACCCAAAAAAAGTCACCTTCTTATTATACCATTTTATTGTATATTTTCCCTTCATGAAAAATGGTAATGCTAACTAATCACCTTAGTATCATATTTCTGGGTCCTTATTCCTCCCAGAGTTGGTCAATAAGTCCATAAATGTTTAAAATCTGTTATGGGAGTCATTTAATTTCAGAATTTCTGCAGTCGTGCTTAAAAGTTCAATATCTTGACCATTTTTCTTACAAAATTCCAAAACAAATACTGATAAACACAAATTATCAGATTTCATACATACCTATTTTGAGATACATAGTAGCCCTTACATAAAATTTAACTTACTTCCTACAAACAATGAATTTATTCTACGTGACTATGCTACCGACATAGATTTCAGTTGTAGTAGGGTCATCACTGATGTATTTCTGAATTATGCAATCCTGACCAGGGTCAAGTATTTAGGAATAAAACATGAGAACTTTGTAATCCACTAAGGCAGGCTGATGTATCAATCCACAAATTGATTTGTCAACATGTAACACCCATGTTACTGGTTAATGTAAGTTCTTGACAATAAGATATTAAACAGCTTAAGTATTATGAACTGTGAACTTTATAAGGAATACTGACCAAATTTCCAGCGTTGGTCATCCTCAGTCACCATGTCCACTTTGTTAAACAGATTATCTCTTAACTAATGTTGTAAGAATTTGTCAACACGTTATCGGCAGAAAAGAAGCAGATCACGTGGTTTCAACAGGACAATGCCACAGCCCATACAGCCAGAAACACTATGGCTTACCTGGAAAAGTGTTTTCCAGGCTGACTGATCTCAAGGGGGTTGTGGCCAGTGCGATCTCCAGTTTTAACACCCCCGACATTTTCTTGTGGGGGTACCTGAAGGATGTCGCCTATGCAACTCATTCAGGAATTGCAAGCGAACATTCAGAATTGTGTCGATGCAATCCCATGGCAAACATTGCAAAGGGTCTTCAAGATCATGATTAACCGTGTCCACTTGTGTGAAACACAGAATGGTGGCCACTTCCAGCACTTACTGTGAAATAAATAGTTTCCCCACAAGGTTGCGTGACTTTTTTGACACTCTGTATAAGAAACCTCTTCCAGTAATAAGAATAAGACAACTCCTGTGTTACTCTTCTGAACAGCATAAAAATCATGAATATTTCATCTCATGAGAAATACTGACCAAAATTCCAGCGCCGATTATCCTGTGTCACCATGTTCACTTTGTTAAACAGATTATCCCTTAACTGGTAGACATTTTGTGATTCAGGAAAACAGCCTGCAAGCCCTGAAATAACTACCTCTTCACCAGGGGAGGACTGCGCGGAAGACATAGGCATGGCTGATAATAGTATGTTTTACTGCAAATAAAATAAGGTTGAATTACAGGAACAGCAATTTATGTGCACCACCATTATTAGTTTAAAGACAGGAATTCAAAATTACAAAATACTTGCTAGACCACTGTAATATATTCCTTTGAACTGGTATATTTTTAATTACATTTAACTCATAATTTCATTGTATACTTACATGACAATAAATGTCATGTTAGTCGACACAGACATGATTGGCAGCACTGTTATGTTTTACTAAAATAAAAAAAGGGTGCAATACATAGGCACAGCATACAATTGGGATGCCTGCCTTCCCGGCAGAAGATTCATTTCAATATTATCCTGCAAATTATTTTCTAAAAGATTCTTCATAAATGAAACCAAAAACAAAACAAAATTGTATCTGAATTCATAGCACAAGATTACCTTTCTCAGATTTAGTTACCAAATATAAATACGAATGCGTACCTTCCAAGTGCTTCCAGTACTCACATGACACTGAGAAGCCCACAGAACATTTTATAGTTTTACCAGAGTACAAATTCCCAAACTCACACATGGCACGATATTAATGGGGGCCTAAATATGATGCACATTTGCCGATGTTATAATAATTAATATAAATATTTATAAGGTGTAAATTAGATTTTAGATCGCTGCATTGCTAAGGATGTAAATCGACCTCACCTTATTTATTCAAGTTCAAATTCATTATTTTTTATACATAATCGATAACAACAGAAAGAAAGTGACAAAACAAACAAAGGATGTTTTTATACCAAGAGACAAATACTGAGAAAAAGGCAGGAAAGAGAGAGAGAGAGAGAAAAGTTGTTCTTATAATTCCAGCAAATGTAACAATTGTTTGGATTAAGGTAAACAATATGTTATGTAAGACTTGAGGTTCTCACAGCGGTGAGTATGAAGATTTCTGTCTTCTGGGTTATTGCGCTGTGTAGTCTGGTCGATGTTTACCAATGTTTCAGAGGTGATACTGCCTCCGTCATCAGGGCGATGAATATACATCTTCGCCCTGATGACGGAGGCAGTATGACCTCTGAAACGTTGGTTAACATCGACCAGACTACACAGCGCAACAACCCAGAAGACAGAAATCTTCAGTCCAATTCCAATATTATTTCTGTATTTACAATGTACGTAACACTTTGTTAGCTTTCAAATTTTAAACCAACTTTTGACTAAATGACTGTATCAAATCACAAACTTAAGCCCTTGAAAAAAAAATCTAACTGAACATTCTTCAAACAAATAATCTGAATGCCTTTCAAAATAAGACATAAAACAGCTAATGGATTACTAACCAATGTTAGTGGTTCATCTTCCACACTGTCCTGAGAGCCTTCCCGGGGTTCTGAATCAGTGCTGGGCTCCTGTGTACTGTTTCGTAAAGATCCTTCACTTCGACCACTCTCACCATCAGGAGTGACTGGAATGTGTTCAGGTTTCACCAATGCCATTTTGAATGATTCTGTATCACCTTTCTGGGCAAAAATATTTGTATTCACTTGAGAAGCTCCTTCTATCAGTGGTCAATGTACAGCTTCATCAAAACACAGTTTTCTTCTGTAGGTGTAGTCAGGGATCAAATTTATGCAACAACGTGATTTAATAGCTTCGTAATATCTACTAATGTTATAAGTTTAAATTATATATTGAAGGATTCAGTACAGACATTATATATAAAAACTGGATGGTTATGTCCCCATAATGTGACACAGTAAGCACTACATTATGACCTGTGAAAGTTCACAGGAATGAAAATTCCTTATGTTGAAGAGTGACATAATTTAATGCAACATTATCCTTTCAAATCATATGAGAAATACAAATTTACACTTCTTTTAGAGTACATTAAATGTGAAATAATCTTTATGGCAACCGAAGGTGCTTCCTGAAAAACGCACGAACTCAAAACTGAACAAATGACCCCAGATTACCGTCAGATACAGACCCTACAAAAGCAAAACCATGGACTTGCTTGGATTTCTTGCTACCAGAGTCATCACCATCAGAACAACTTTTCAGTGTTCTCAGCAACACATAAATGGCGCACGTGTACCGTCAATTTTGATGGACACTGGCCATTAAATTAAGAGTAGATACATTTTGTTAAATAAAAAGGAAATATGATGTTATGATAAGGTTATCTTGGAAGTATAATAATCAGAAGTCTCTCAGGTCTTAAGCAATCTTGAAATAAAATCCTTGAAGAGAGACTAAGTAACAAATGCAGGCCGAGTTCTTCACAGCAGATTTACTGCCATACAGTCTGCTACCCATAAGCAGGTATTAGAGCAGTCCTCTGGGTCAAATGCTCCAACAGCATCAAATACAGAGGCATGGCATACTGGTTCATAACAAGTATTTATCAGGGCCGAGACAGTAACAGATAACATCACATATTGATAAAAGAAGTTTAAAGATGTCCCATATGCTAAGAAATAACCATTTATTTGTGTTCTATGGCTATGAACTTGATCTTGTTTTTTGTTATTTCAAAACATTGAAGTGTAATGAATAAGGTGACAGGTCACGAGGATTACAAACAGGAAGATTACGTAGCAACTTTTTACCAATAGGATTATTTTGCATGTTCACAGGAAGTACCATTCTATTTAGCAAATTTATTCCCTTTTCACACATTAAGAATACACCAATTGTAGGTCACGGTCTACATACACATCACTGAATTACTCGTGTGCATTGTCATGAAGAAAAACAAAGTCTTATGTCAGAAGTGGGAATGTTATTACTAGATTCCTGCT